GGGGGGGGGATGAGGAGGGGCTGAGAGGGTGAAGGGGGAAACGTGAAGTTCACCCCCTTTCACCCCGTCTACCTGTACTCACCTTGCCGGAGGAAGGAGGGGGGAGGGATTACTGGGGGGCAGCTAGGCCTAAATTCACCCATTTATAGTTCTTCCATGTGGGTGAGGTCGCTAGAAGGTACAGTAGCCTACGTAGACAAGGCACAGCAGCTTAAGCCATAGGGCCATATGTCCTCGGCCACCGCATCTGAATTCTAAGTTCAGTAACGCCACACTGCATCCGGCTTAAATTGTTCAAGCCTAACTTCTTTGGGCTTTACCTACTCTGGCTTAACTCCTTTCGACCGAACCTCTTCTGGCCTAATTTCTTATGGACTTAACCTACTCTTGCGAAACTCCTGGCCTAATCTAATCCGGCCTAATCTCGTCTGGCCTAACCTGATCTGTCCTAATATACTCCGGCCTAACATCTTCTCGCTTCTACTCCGGGCAAGCCTACTTCGTCCAAACCTTATTTGTCAAAACCTCATCCGGTCCCACTTATTCTGGTCTAACCTATTCACGCTACCCGACTAAGGGCGCAGCCGTAAACAACAAATTTTACTCCTAAATAAGCCACGGAGCCAATGATCAGCCTCTGCATGCTATAACTTTATACAACCTCAGAGATAAAAGCCGCAGTATACGCTGGAACATCGTAATCCGCACCAGTAAAATACTGTTTAAAGATAATAACACCATAGGTCTTCAGCCAAAACTTCAGCATGCTCGCTCATAAGCAGGCCGTTCTGCATCCGGCCTCACCTACTATGGCCTAACCTCTCCTGGACTAACCTATTCACGCTGTCCCGGCTCACAACCTTCTTGCAGCCAATGACAGGCTCTGCCTTCTCACCTGCCCCTCCTCTTTAACCTCCTGCAGCCAATGAGGTTAGGTTAGGTTAGGCTAGGTCCGCTCAGGTTGTTTTATGTGGAGAAATGTTGCAGCGCGTGTATTTTAGGCCCGATTAGGTTATGCGTGAATAGGTTTGGCCAGATGCAGCATGATCACGCTTAACTTGGTCATGCTAAAGCGGTGGCTGTGGACAAACGGTGGTGTGGCTTTGAGAACTAGACTTCATAGGCTTCTATTCCCTCTAGCGTTCTTTATTCACGGAAAGCAATATGATTAAAGTGTGAATTTTAGCGAAGATGGCCTCCGGTACGCGCCCCGTTAGGGTTGAGAAATATTGCAGTTCGTTTTGGTTAAGCCTGTAGAATTTAGGCCGGAGTAGGTTAGGCCAAAAGAGGTTACCAGCCTTTGTAAGACCAGAAGAAAATTGGCCGGACTAGGTTAGCCCAGAAAAGATTAAGCCGAAGTAGTGTAGGCCAGAAGAGATTAGGCCGCAGTTAGTTTAGACCAGAAGAGATTAGGCCGGAGTAGTTTAGGCCTGCAAAGGTTAAGCCGGAATATGTTAGGCTCAGATGCAGAACTGTCTGCTTATGATAGAGGATATTTAAGTTTCTGTTGTGGAGCTCCATCTCTGTTTTCTTAATGCATTGGGCCACCGGTCCGGAATGAGTAGACACTCTGCTAACTACCACCAGCTGAGGGCAGTAGACACTCTACCGTACTCACCTTGCCCGAGCTAAACACTCTACCGTACCCACCTTGCCCGAGGTAGACGACACTCTACCGTACCCACCTTTCCCGAGGCAGACACTCTACCGTACCCACCTTGCCAGAGGTAGACACTCTACGGTACCAACCTTGCCCGAGGGAGACAATTACCGTGCCCACCTTGCCCGAGGTAGACGCTCTACCGTACCCACCTTGCCCGAGGTAGACACTCTACCGTACCCACCTTGCCCGAGGTAGACGACACTCTACCGTACCCACCTTGCCCGAGGTAGACGCTCTACCGTACCCACCTTGCCCGAGGTAGACACTCTACCGTACCCATTGCCCGAGGTAGACGACACTCTACCGTACCCACCTTGCCCGAGGTAGACACTCTACCGTACCCACCTTGCCCGAGGTAGACACTCTACCGTACCACCTTGCCAGAGGTAGACACTCTATGGTACCAACCTTGCCAGAGGTAGACGCTCTACCGTACCATCTTGCCCGAGGTAGACACTACCGTACTCACCTTGCCAGAGGTAGACACTCTACCGTACCCACCTTGCCCGAGGTAGACACTCTACCGTACCCACCTTGCCCGAGGTAGACACTCTACCCGAGGTAGACACTACCGTACTCACCTTGCCAGAGGTAGACGCTCTACGGTACCCACCTTGCCCGAAGTAGACACTCTACCGTACCCATCTTGCCCGAGGTAGACACTCTACCGTACCCACCTTGCCAGAGGTAGAAACTCTACCGTACCCACCTTGCCCGAGGTAGATATGCCCTTGTAGACGGAGAAGTAGCAGATGAGGTAGACGGCCAGTAGACAGAGGGCCAGGTCCCACTTGAGGGACCCCAAATCCCCGAACCCCGAGGACTCGTGAAGCTGCAGGACCTCCCGGCTGGGGGTTCAAGGGGTTCAAAAGGGTTAAGTGGGTCCACGGGTTTTAACGGATTTAAATTGGAATCTGAGGGTCCAAAGGGGTTTAGTGGGTCGACGGAATATCAAGGGTAAAACGAGGGTTGAGGAGGGACAGAGGGTTTACTGGATGGGGTTCATTGGTTCTGATATAAAGTGGATTCAATGAGTTCGGGGGATTCAATGGGTTCGGGGGATTCAATGGGTTCGGGGGGTTAAATGGATTCAGGGGGTTAAAGGGGTTCGGGGGGTTAAAGGGGTTCGGGAGGTTAAAGGGGTTCGGGGAGTTAAAAGGGTTCAGCGTATTTGGGTCCAAGGAATTGGTACAAAATATCAGACCCTACTCACTCAATAAATAAACCGGTCAAATTGTCCCGATGCTGATACAGTGACAAATTTTCCAAACCAGTAGCACAGATACGCGCGGTTACCGGGCATAACTGTGTCAAAATGACTACAGAGAGCAGAAAAAAGCATCAAAATTAGAACCTTTTGTCCCACACATCTATTTGAGTGCGAGATTAAAAATATTTCAGAAAGGGAGGGGTGGGTGGGGGTGTGGCCGAAGGGCGGGGGTTAGAGGGCGAGGAAGAGGGAGGGGAGGGGAGGAAGGGGGGCGCCATTGTAGTTCAAATGCAAGCCTTCGTCCCGGACAGAGCTTGCCACTTAGCGGTGGTGGCAGCGGCGGTGGCAGCGGTGGTGGCAGCGGCGGAGGCAGCGGCGGTGGCAGCGGCGGTGGCAGCGGTGGTGGCAGCGGCGGAGGCAGCGGCGGTGGCAGCGGCGGTGGCAGCGGCGGTTTACGGCTAACCTGTTATGTCTCATTAAACTGCAAGCTAAGCTAAGCACAACAGGTTCACCCACAACAGGTTCACCCACAACAGGTTCACCCACAACAGGTTCACCCACAACAGGTTCACCCACTAGAAGTATTCGTGGGCTGGGGGGTAGAAGGTGGCGTTGGGGGAGTCGTCCTGGGTGAAGTTCTGGTCCCCCACTCCCCATTGGGTGACGTTCTGGTCCCCCATCCCCCACTGGGAGATTCCCTCCCCACCCCCCACCGCGGGGGTCAGGTTCCCCTGGATTGATAGCTGCAGAGGGGGGGTGCCCCTTTAAATAATAAATAAACTGATTTTTTGTTAGATTAATTTCTAATAATAATATTTTTTAAATAAAAAAGTCTAAATAAATTTATTTTTCAAGAAAATTTATTTTTTTAATTAATTACGTGCAAAGATTTTAAATTCCGTTCACATGGCTGCATGGTGAGAAGATTAAATATGATCTATATAGTATGTTCAAATATTCTATATACTGAAATATTATCTTAACTGACACTAATAATATTAACTAATATTATACTGAAATGCTATTTTTATTATATTTTAGTATTTTTCAGCATAAATATCAATGTGGAGGGCGCTATACTGATGTTTTATTCCTACTAAAACTGGTAATATTAACTAATACTATACTTAAATACTCTTTTTATTATATTTTAATATTTTTCAGCATAAATGTCAATGTGGGGGCCCACCTCCCTACAGTTGGGGGAGTTCCAGGAGTTGTTGCAGTGCGACCAGGGCAGCGGCGACGTGAAGGATGATAGGAAGTACCTGTTGGAGGAGGGATACTGTGGGGCGAGTCTGGGGCGACCCAAGGGCGAGTCTGGGGCGACTCAAGGGTGAGCCTGGGGCGACCCAAGGGCGAGTCTTGAGCGACCCGCAGAAGGAGGGATACTGTGGGGCGAGTCTAGGGCGACCCGCAGAAGGAGGAGGCGAGTCTGGGGCGACCCAAGGGCGAGTCTTGAGCGACCCGCAGAAGGAGGGATACTATGGGGCGAGTCTGGGGCGACCCAAGGGCGAGTCTTGAGCGACCCGCAGAAAGAGGGATACTATGGGGCGAGTCTGGGGCGACCCAAGGGCGAGCCTTGAGCGACCCACAGAAGGAGGGATACAGTGGGGCGAGTCTGGGGCGACCCAAGGGTGAGCCTTGAGCGACCCCCAGAAGGAGGGATACTGTGGGGCGAGTCTGGGGCGACCCAAGGGCGAGTCTTGAGCGACCCGCAGAAGGAGGGATACTGTGGGGCGAGTCTGGGGAGTTCTAGAGTTCAGCTCTTAGGCGATTCAGTTCTAGAGTTCAGCTCTTAGGCGATTCAGTTCTAGAGTTCAGCTCTTAGGCGATTCAGTTCTAGAGTTCAGCTCTTAGGCGATTCAGCTCTATATAGAGTTCAGCTCTTAGGTGATTCAGTTCTAGAATTCAGCTCTTAGGCGATTCAGTTCTAGAGTTCAGCTTTTAGGCGATCCCAGGGCGACCTTGGGGCGACTCTGAAGTGACTCTATAGGTCTAGTGATCAGGACCCTAACAAAATTTAGAGTCGCCCCAGCTTCTGGTAATCCAAATCAGAAGCTGCCGCGTCTGTAAATTTTCACTGGGGAGCGACCCAAGGGCGAGTCTAGAGCGACCCAAGGGCAGCTATGAGGCGACTAAGGGGCGACCCTCGAGCAAGGGGCAATATGCTAGAGTACGTGGACCTGGGGTGACCATGGGGCAGCTCTAGGGCGATCCTGGGGCGACTCTGAAATGACTTTGGGTCGACCCTAGAGCGACCCTGAATCGACTCAGATTCAAGGCTGGAACAACTCTTGTGCCACCTCTTTATACTATATAGTAAGTTTTAAATAACTTTTCAGTAAATCTTGAGTAACTCCATACGCTAAACTCAGGGGGCATCTAATAAATATTCCAGACACTCACCGAAGATTGCCATTACACACCCAAGGCCTCCCCTCATCCACCCAAGGCTCCTTTCACCCACCGAAAGCCTCCCTCACCATCAAAGGCTCCCTTCACATACCTATTCACCCACCGAAGGCACCCTTCACCTACCCCCTTCATTCCAGAAGGCTCCCTCCACCCTGAAGGCTCCTTTTACTCACCGAAGCCTCCCTCATCCATCAAAGCCTCCCTTCACATACCTATTCACCCACCGAAGGCACCCTTCGCCCACCAATGGTTCCCTTCACCCAACGAAAGCATCGTTCAGCCATTGAAGGTCCCTTTCACAACCCCCTTCATTCCAAAAGGCTCCCTTCATCCCCGAAGGCTCCCTTCACAAACCAGAGGCCTGCTCCACCCATCCCCCTCGCCCCCACCGACCCAAGGCCCCCCTTCACCCAACAAAGGCCCCTTTCACCCATCGTAGGCCCCCTTTACCAACCGAATACCCTTTTTACCAACTGGAGTCCCCCTTCACCCACCCCCGTTCACCCACCGCAGGCTCCAGGCCAGGATGACGTTGTAGAAGAAGTCCACGAAGAAGGCGATGGTCACGACCGCGAACCCGATGCCTGGGGGATGGGGGAAATGGGGGAAGTGAGGGAAATGGGTTTACTGGAGGGAATGGGGGAAATGGGGGTAATGGGGGAAATAGAGGTACTGGGAGAGAAGAGGGTAGTGGGGGAAATGAGGGAAATTGGGGTACTGGGGAAATGGGGGGTACTGGGGAATTGAGGGCAATGAGGGAAATGGGGGTACTGTGGGCGAAGGGGGAAATAAAGGAAATGGGGAAATAAGGAATATTAAGTAATTAAGTATATGTACAATAAATATTTGTCATCACTAAACCCTAATCCACTTAACCCCTTACAACCCCTCAACCCCCCGACCCCTGACCCCTCCTCATATTTTGCTTCCATCGGGCTCCACAAAGGCGGGCCGCGGACCCCAATTTAAGGGCCGGACCCCAATTGAGGGATGATGAATTATCCCTCGTATTTGGACGGGCCAAAGTGAGGGTAAGGAAACGTGACCGCGCCGGACGTGTGCCAGCTTCCCTCGCGGCGTCCTAATGAAACGTAAATAAAACGGCACTAAAACGACGATAAAAAAGGCTTAGAAAGCCCATTAATTGAGCGTTAATAAATTGATTTAACGTCGCTAATAAAACGTAATTAAAACGTCAATAAAACTCGCATTAAAATGTAGCCTTGACGAAACATGATGCTTCGATGAAACGTCATTAAAACTTCATTAAAACCTCATTAAAACGTCGTTAAAATCGTCATAAAAAGTCATTAAAACGTCATAAAAAGTCAATAAAACGTTATAAAAACTTCGTTAAAAAGTCATCAAAACGTCATAAAAATGACATTAAAACGTCGTGAAAAGTCATTAAAACCTCGTTAAAACGTAAAAAAGTCGTTAAAACGTCATTTAGACGTCGTTAAAACGTCATAAAAACGCATCTAAAACCCTACCGATGCATCATGAAAAAGTCAATAAAACGTTAGTTACATAACATAGGCAAGGTGGACTAATGTCTCTTATACGTTACATAAAACGCTATTTCTTCTGTAACTTCATTTAAACGCAACGCCAAACGTTCCTCAAACGCTACTAGGACGTCGCAAAAAGAGCCTAAAACGTCCTAAAACGAAATTGAAAAGATATTTCAACTCTTCCCAAACTTCACTAAACCTGCCTCTAAAACGTCGCTGAAACGTCGTTATCCGTCGCTGAATTTACGCTAAAACGTCGCTAAAACGTCGTTATACGTCGCTGAATTTACGCTAAAACGTCGCTAAAACGTCGTTATACGTCGCTGAATTTACGCTAAAACGTCGCTAAAACGTCGCTCTAGCACTTATACAACCCCTCTAAAACGGCACTAAATCACTCCAAAATCACCCCTAAAACGCCTCTAAATCCACCTCACCCTTCAGGAGGGGCACCAGGCGCCCCCAGCAGGTGATGGCGCCCGTGCTGTTGTACTGCCCCAGGGCGAGCTCCATGAAGAACAGAGGGATGCCCCCCAGCACCAGCATCAGGCAGTAGGGGATCAGGAACGCCCCTGGGGGACAATGAGGGTACAGTGAGGGTAAAGTGAGGGTAAAGTGAGGGTAAAGTGAGGGTACAGTGAGGGTACAGTGAGGGTAAAGTGAGGGTAAAGTGAGGGTA